GTCAACCCTTGGTTAAGTAATAATTGAATTACTTAACGTTATCAATTGCTTTGTGTCAACCTTGGTTAAGTAATACTGGATTACTTAACGTTATCAACTTGCTTTGTGAAAACCTTAGTTAAGTAATTGTAAATTGTTTAACGTCATCAACCCTGCTTAGTGTCAATCTTGGTTTAAGTGTAATTCTCAAATTACTTAAACGTTATCAACTGTGTTAAAGTCATCAACGAGTTAAAGTATTTGATATTGTAAATACTTTAAGCTGTACGTCACTACTTGGTTATAATAATTTATTAGAATGTCATCAAGGAAATTTCTTAACTTCTTAAGAAATTATGAGTCACCTGAAGTGGATTGGAAGTCTTCATACTTACTAATTCAGAAACTTAATCGTGAAAGAATACTGAAGTCAACAGAAACCAGAATTAACTGAAGTCTCTCCCAAAACTTAATAAAGATTAAGCTAAATCTTGCTGCTACTCAATTGATTACGTGTTTCAGTCCGCCTAATCATTAGTTGGGTAACAATATATAACCTTTCATGTGAAGTTTGATTAAAAAGAAAAATATATTGATACTTGAATTACTACTAGGTCTTAAAGAGTAAAGTTACATCAGATAAATCATTACCTTTTCCTAATAATTGTCATTTGCTGCTCAAATAATATTTCAGCTGTCAGAAAATTATGTGATCATATATTGACATCAACTGGCTGCTATCAATGCTATAAACAAGTAAATACAGAAGGTAAAAAACTAAATTTTGATGGGTTTGAAGACATTATTGATTGGTTTCAAAATGAGACTTTAAAGAATATTTCAGAAATGCTGAAAAATAATAGTAATACAAAACAAAAGATGAAAGAAAGTAACATGTTTCTGATACACATATACATTGATCAGAAAAATGTTAAGATTATCTTATTTAATCTGATTCAATATCTTATTATCCTTGTTATTAATTCAATGCATTACCTTTTTCTTAGTATTATCTATTAAATAGTAAAAAGATTATGGTCTAATAAAATTGATCTTATATTATTAAAATAATAGGCAAAATTCATCAACCTACCTATTGATTTGGATCAGATTCCAAATAAATTTTCAACTGGAAAAGAATTTTTCAGCTTTAAAACTGATCAATAAAAGATATTTATTTTAGTATATGCAACTCTATTATTATAGAATCTTTTGAATTTACTGGATAAAGAAATTTTAGATAATTTTGTTAGAGTTTGCTCATTACTTATATGGGAGGTGGTTAGTAGAAAAGGGGGAAATTTAAATTTTGGTCAAAATTTATATTATTAGACCACTTGGCTAATCTCGATCATGTGCACAAATTTGGCTTAATAATAAAAATTAACAAAAATTTTGGATTTTCCCCTTTTCTACTGACTGCCTTCCATATATTAAATAATTAACAATAATATATTAATTGAAGTTCATATCCAATTGTTATAAGTAATACGTTTAGTTAAAGAAAACTATGGACTAGAATTTATAATATTAAATATATACCTTTCACTTCATATTACTAAATACTATCATAATTATAGTTCCTTATATTCATTCTGATGTTATTCATTTGAAAGAATAAATGAAGTTTTAGATAAGATTTCATATTGATTGTTATTAAATGGTTAAATAATTAAATATATGAATAATCATTATTTAATTTTTCTTTATAGAATCCCTTCTGAATAGTAAGTGACAAATCAAATTAGTATTTCTATATATTATTGTGCAAAACTATAAAATAGACGAATTAATTTCTAATCAATTGGATTGTTCAAAACTAGCATAAGCTCTTAAATTGGTAAAATCTCATTTAATAGCTTAAAGTTTAATATTATATGATGAATTGGATTTTACAGAATCATACCAATTTATATAAATCTATCATCTTAATAAAACTGTTATTGGTAATGAACTATTTTCAGAACAAATGCTTTCTCCAAAAATAAATGTATATCTTTATCAGATAATATTTATGAATTATTAGTTTAATATTATAATAATGCATATGATAAGAAGTTTGTAAAATAGCAGGTGCAGTTTCTGAAACATCAACAGAAAATTTCACTATCATTTTACTGTATATTAATCAATATGATTATATTAGAATTGGATCCAAAATTTTTGAAGTAATAATTGTATCCTGATATATGAGAAATTCACATATAGCAAAATTTATACAAAACGATAAGATAACAGACATATTTTCTAGTGAAGTACATATTATTTTGAATATTTACTTGACTTTTCAATAGGTATAGTAATGTATCATTTAGCATTTGTAAAATGACATTTACTAATTCCTGACCAGCAAACAAGATTTTATAGCAAATCTAATGTTGAAAAAGAATTATGTAATATTGAACTTTAGAAAGATAAATTCTATAAGATTGATAGAGATAATATCATCTTGATTCATAATATATATAGTCAATTTATGCTAAGTGAATTTATAGTTAGTATACAAAACTAAAAAATATATAGCAGTTATACCTATTAATAGACAATTTCATTTGTAATTTAATTGTATCTTATTAAATAAATTTGTAATAATAGGTATACTTTAATAAATTTATAAATTTGAAAACAATTAGTAAAATTAAATAATTTTATAAATTGGTAAATTTATTAATATAGAAACCAATTGGCAGTGTTGTTATAAGACATTCTTGAACAATATTTTAGACATAGTGTTAGACTTTTGAATATAATGTTTGACAGTATTAGATATAGTATTTGATATTCTTAAAAAATTTACAATACTACTAATCAGTAAATTCTAATTGAATAATAATCATCAATTAGGTATTAAACTGATTGATAACTAATTGTTAATTGAATTTGGTTTGTTACTATTTAACATATAATTATAAATTTTTTAAAATAAGTATAAAATCAGGTTGAAAATCAATTTATATAATTCTACTTAATATTTATGATTATGATATTAACCAATTCATACACAATTGTAGTATTTACTGATTTCTATCTATTGATTACTAATCGGAAAGGTACCTGATTGATCAGCGGCTAACCTGTATATTAACTGATGATAATTGTATGTAATATACTCAATGTATTAGATTATGGATTATCTGATAATAATGAAGATAATATAAACCAAAATTTTAGCAATATACAAACAGTATAAGATTGGCAGAATGTGGTTTAAAATGAATAAAAATGATAGAAAATGAAAATAATTCAAATTTAGGATTAGAAAGCAATGATAATGATAATGTTAATTATGAATATAACATTACATTAGTTAGTATTTCTAATTTACCTCATCCTATAATAGATAAAAATGCTAAATGGAAACTTCAAGATATTTTTATTGAAGATTTGGAAGAACTTAGATATTTTATGGAATTTCTTAATAGTAATGGTTAATTAATATTATAGGAATATATTTTGAAATGTAATCAATTGATAGCTTAATGATAATATAAACTATAAAGTAATTTGCTTAAATAAATTTGAAGTTAATTAAAATAATAAAATATTGGAATCAATTATAAGTCCAATAGTCCAATAACATTTGAAATTGAAATGGATATGGTTCAATAGTCCAATAGTCCAAAAGTCCAATAATCCAAAAAGCCATCACTGAGTAAAGTGACAGAAGGGTTTGAGTTTTAAATTCTATAAGTATAAAATTGATAATGTAAATAAAGTGTATAAATATCACTTGACAAAATGATCGACGCTATATGTAATATCATTTATAAAACTAGGCATTGCCGATGTTATCGTATAAATTTTTTAAATGATATTATCGATATAAATGAATATAACGCTTAGTTTAGATTAATTTTATTAGGTCGGAATTTCATTTAATACTTTAAAACGTTTTAAAATAGAAAAAATAAATATAATTTTTTCTGAAACTTATTTCTTATACTCAATATGATATTTCAACCATTATATTAACGGTTTTAACTACAAAATCAAAAAAAAAAACAAATACTCATATCTATAAAATCTGGTGAGACGGGAGTATTCTTCTGATCCTATTTCAAAGTGAATAAATAATCTTGGTTAAATGACGCGATTGGTTCTTCTATTTCTTCATCATAACTTTCTTTTATTTTTTTTAAAAAAAAAATTCACTTCAGTTTTAATAAATTAATTAAAATAGCGAATCCACCATTGCGAACAAAATAATGATGTCATGAAAAATAGAACATAAACTCCTCTTTATAAGGTAAATTATTTTACCGTATGCACATGTTACATGATTTGTGCATTCAACAAATTAAAATCTTCACAATAAATACGGTATTTATCTGATATAAATATTAGATAAATTCGATATCTGAAGATAGATAACCATCAGTACTAAGTTTACGAGACGCCCTGGATCTTGGCTTCTTCCTCATCAATTTATGCGGATATGTTTTCAAAATGTGATCCCTTTCTGCAATCCAATTATCATTTTCGTTTATTTCTATCACCTCACGCTTCCTAACTTTTGACATATTATCATGTGACACGTTATTGATCGAATTCATACGATTGATTTTTTGTGCATAAAACTTTTCCTTCAAATTTGTTGACAAATTATTATAAAATCTTTCTTCGCCAGGTACCGAATCTTTAATAGTAGGTAGTATTAGTAAAAAACCTTATAAAAGTTCGATGTAAAATAAATATCATACCAAGTAGATCTACAACAAATTCTGCTACACGAAAACGGGATTCCTCGGTTTTCCCTATATAAAATCATAAATATTATAGTCATACTGCCTCTATATGCGCGGAATTTAAAAGATTAGACTGACTTTCTGGTAATTCGACTGTTTTTGTGTAAGCGTTAGAATTCTTTGGTGAAATTGTCATATCTAATAAACAATGATTTAGTGTATTTCATCAAGACCATTTTCTTGATTAACTGATTAGAACGGAATCGAGAGTGACCCACTTGATTGAATATTGCTTAACTTTGGTATATTGTTTTCAATGTGGCCCAGACTAACGTTCCTTTGAGAATTGTCATTATGAAGAGGTTTAGCCTTAAAATATGGTGAGTTTTGCGCAGTTTGCATGACGTTTTGTTGCTGTGAAGGTACTTGCAAGCCATTAGGCACTTGTGAAGTGGAAATACTTTCTTGATACATTTGACTAAATACTAAGGTATTGGAACTTGCAGGTTGACTTTGAGATCCAGCCATGACACATGAACTAGTTTGCGTGGTTAGAATACTACTACTCTGTTGAAGAATATTGTTGTTGTCAGACTGAATGATCGATTCAGTTCCTATAATTAATAAATCAAAATTTAGTATAAAAAATTGATCAAAATTCTCTAAAAACTACCTCTTAGTGATTGTGTACTATATGCGTTCGTACTCTCTGTTGCCTGTTGAGCATACATTCTATGGAGGAGTTTTGTGTATTCAGAATTATTTTGTTCCTTAACATCGTTATTTTGTGCCATCGTGCCTTTTGATTCACTTTCAAAAATTTCAGGAGGGAGAAATTGAGAGTAAAAAAAAGCGCGGTAAAAGGACGCGAAAATGAGAATTTAAAATCATCTAAATTTAATATTTCCTTTATTAGTAATTTAAATTAGAGATCGCGATTCGATCATATGATCCGGAAAAAATCAATGATTTTCAGTATTATTTTTACCGGCAGTTTCCACCTTTTGGATATTGAAGATCGGTCTAAAAATCGATCTTAAAGATCACCTTCGCTATAGACCGAAATTTAATTTATTAATTACTAAATTAAGCCGTAATGTATAAAGTAAAAGAATAAGGTTTCACGCGAAAAATACGATCAAAAAAGCTTCCGTTTTGAGAAATGATCGGCGAGATAATTCAGTTCTTCACGTGACATCATGTATTTATCGATATCTAACTAAACTTTGGTTTTACTAGATAAAATGGTAATTCTTTTTTAATCTTCTCATTATATAATAATTCGAATGATTAAATTAATGCTTATTTAATTAGGGAAAAGCAAAGAAAACGAGGAAATTCGCCGAAGTGAAACGATTGATAAATCCAAATGATTCAAGACTGTGAGTATGAAATTTATGAATTGAATAATACATATGTAAACATTCGTTCATTCAATTGTTATAACCTATTATATTTTTCATTATTAAATTGATTAAAATAAAATTAGAAAATCTGTACAAGAGAAACAAAAGTCTCGGCAGGAAAAAAAAGCTAAAGAAGCTATTCATAATGTGTAAGCATTCTTTTTAATTTAATCTAATTTCGAATCAAAGATCATATACTTATTTATATATTTTTGAGGGTGATAGACCACAAGTAGCTTCATCGCTTTTCTTTAGACATAACACAGCTCTTGGTCCACCTTATCAGATATTGGTGGACACAAATTTTATTAATTTCTCAATTCAAAATAAATTGGAACTTGTGCAGGCCATGATGGATTGCTTATACGCCAAATGTATGTTATTTTTTATTTTATATTATTTTTGATATTTTTATCGCATATTTCTTATTTGATTGGTTGAAAATAGGTATTCCATGTATTACTGATTGTGTAATGGCAGAATTGGAAAAATTAGGTCCAAAATATAGAATCGCGTTGCGGTAAGAATTTACATGAATTTTACATTATTTACATTAAAGCATGCAATGCAATCAAAAACTAAAGAAAATTTCCATGATACTACAATCAGAGTCGCTCGCGATCCAAGATTTGAAAGATTACCTTGTACACACAAAGGAACGTATGCTGATGATTGTCTTGTGCAGCGAGTGACTCAGGCAAGTATCATCGCTCATCATTAATTGTTTTCACTTCTATTTTCTTCAAATTTAAATGTATAAATTAATTTTATCATTATTATAGCATAAATGTTATATAGTGGCAACTTGTGATCGAGATTTGAAACGTCGCATTCGTAAGATTCCTGGTATACCTATCATGTATATTTCTAATCGAAAATATACTATAGAAAGATTGCCAGAAGCCTATGGTGCTCCAGCTTAGGTAATCAACATCATACCTCTAGTTAATTTTATTTTTAATATAAGCCAACTTATTCACTTCACATTATTAAAATAATAGAACATTTTGAAAATTCAATTCATTTTGATATACTTCTCAAATTTTCTTAAAAAATAAAAAGACGCGTTTTTTTTTGTAATATATCAAAAATAATATTATATTCTACAATATGATGTTAAATAAAATGATTTTTTTATTTCGTATAAGATAAGTTAAATTCAATAGAAGAGAAGAAAGATACGATTAAATAATAAATATTATTATCTCACTATAATTACATGACAAAAAACGATTGATATCTGCGTACAAAACTGTTTCCAAAACGCTCTTTTTATTAGTATTATCGGTTGCTATATGCACGTCGATATATATATATATATATATGTTTTTTAACTTTTTTATTTTATTTTTTTTTTTATTTTTTAAAAAAGAAAAATCAGGACAATTCAGATGGACATTTCTATCTGAGGAGAAACAGATGTAGATCCAGCTTCTCCGCTAAACAAGCCAATTACTCGCTTATACGGAGTCATAATCTGATCAGGCGCTGTAGTCTTGGTCTTGATAAGCTCTCTCATTAGATGCCGCCTACTAGCTTTAAGATCTTCTAATTGCTGCTTGAGCTCCGCCAACCTAATTACAAAACTTATTAGAAATATCAAATAATATAAATATTATGAAAGAATAATAAATCATACTTGTCAGCATTGCCACCTTGAAGCGGTGCGACATTCTTCATCTCCTGAGAAATGGTAGCGTCAAGTCGGCATTGCCTTCGCTTTTCGACTATATCCCTCACCAAGTCAATCAATTCATTGATTCGATCTTTTCGTGCGGGTAGAACGCGAATCTTGTCTCGCAACGCGTCAATATTAAATTTAGTCGTATTTAGATCGTTAATGACTGTTTCTAACTGGGAACGAGAAACAGATAATTCTTGATCTTTCTCCTGTATTTGTGACTGATAAGAATTTTCAAATTCTTGCAAAATTGATGTGATATTTGGTAGGAAATTTTGTGAAACTTGAACACCTGTTGAAGATGTAACAGTTGGTGTCGTTCCCGAAACTTCTATGGACGATGAACTCGCAACAGCAGTTATTTCTTGATTTTCGAGGTTATTTATTGTCTGAGCGTTTTGTAAATGAGCTTGGTGCTCAGAAGCCGCTCGAACTTTTGCTTCATGATCCAACTCTAATATATAGTCTTCGGCATTTTTTCCTAACGCGTTCCTAATTTGAGGATCTGCTCCAGCATCCATGAGTAATCGAACCAGTTTCTTATTAGCATATCTTGCAGAAATATTGAGAGCGGTATCGCCTTCATGATTTTGCTTGTTGATAATAGCTTTACGATATTCTTCATTAGGGTGTAGAGCTAAATTCGAAAGCAAAATCTCCATATAATATCTAGAAGGACCGATGCAACCTTTTGAAGAAGCAAATACCGCAACATGGTGCAATACAGTTTGATCACTTATATCTAAATTGGGTATTGTCGTATGCAAGATTTGTACCATATCATTGAAACTTCTGTTATCATAGTTGTATGAAAACATAACGCTTCTCATCAGAGCAGTTTCTCCGTGAATGTTACCACGATCGAGATCTGAACCAGCTTTGCTTAAAAGAGAAGTCATTTCAATGTTTGCCATTGCAGCAGCCCAATGTAGTGCAGTATGCCCTTGTTGGTCGATCACGACGTTTGGGTCAAAATCTGTAGGAGGATTAATAACAAAATCTGGAATCGTAGTTCCATTCGATGTAAAATACGCCAATAAAAGCATTCCATATTGTTGGAATTGTGCAGACGCGGAATTCTTGGCAATTTTGGTTGGACGATTGGAAGTATTAGTACTAGCTGGTGCGGTGGCAGGCTCAGGTTGCTTACGCTTTCGCTTTGTTTTCTGAACAGGAATAGTATCATCTGACTCTGTTAAATCATTTGAAGAATCGATTGGAGCAGGAGTAGTTGTTAAAGAGGATATTGGAGAAACGGTCACGTTGGTAGTAGAAGCAACACTGACTATTTCATTTGTTTCATGATCAGAATCAATTTCCATAGCATCTTCTATTTGTTCAGCTTTCTTCAACTTCTTGGGAAGTCTAGGTTTAATGGGTTTAGGCTCTTTTGGTTCACGTGGCTTGCGAGGTTTGTTAGACGCGGCCGTTACGTGTTTGGGTGCAAGAGGAGGACTTTGCGAAGTTGGTTGAAAATTAATAATCGGTTGTAAAAGTTCTTTGACATGGTACCGTTCTGCTAAATCGACACCTGTTTCGTATGGAACCCAGGTACCTACAATAGAAACCAAAAATATATATATATATTATTAATAATAAAGTTTTCATTCTATGTTCATTTTATATTGTAATACGCGATAAAGCAATTTAAATTGTAATTAAATCATAAAGATAGCTTAATAGGTGTTCATAAGCATTTGAATTAAACCTTAGTAGTAAGTGAGGTATTAACCTTGATATTTTCCATATCCTCCTTGAACTTTCTCGTGTTCCCCTTTCTGTACTTCACGTTCCAAAATCCTAGTTCGATGGGGTTTATCGAACTCTGCAACTTTCAAAATTTGAGTAGCATTGAGCCAAGAATCTGTTTTACGTCGCATAACAGCTACATTTCGAACACTAGAAACGAGTGATAGTACATATTCAGTGTTGGAAAGAATATAGTGTCACATATTTGGTGGTAAATACTCAACATAAACTGAACACTGATGAGTATTTCACACTTACCGAAACTCCCAAACTGGAACCCCTGAATAAGTTGCTTTATAAATTTGAGAGGAAAGGTCAGGTTCTGAAATTTCAATATGATTTTGCAATTCAGAAGACATCTTTTCTATTAAAGATTTTAATAACGTGGAAAATAAAAGAGGGAATTTTTTTTGACAAATTTTCGCGGTTCAGGGTGGTTAGTAATGTGGTGACTAAGATACGAGTCTTTTGATGTCGTGTTTGTGTGCTTTAAAAGAATTATTATAAAAATAGTAAAAGTTGATATCAATAATCAGCTGACGTAGCAGGAACGTGAACTATGCAAAGTAACATTATTGATATATTACGAGAATTAGATATTCATTCATTATTTTCTAATTGATGATTATTTAGGCCGCGTTTTTACGGATAATTTTTATTTTATTTTTTTACGTGTGTTTCCCCGATAATTGGACAAATACGGAAAGATTTAAGGATACTGAAAGCAAATCAATTTTATAAATACAAAAAAAAATGAAAATAGAACTCAAAAAAAATAATGGTATAATTATATTTAATATATGAAAAAGGGTAGCGGAACGAATACTTTAATAAATAGATCAATATTACGCGAAAAAATAGCCTGGAATTTGTCGATTTATGATATGATTCAAGAACAAAACTATCGTGAATATAAACCTTTATCTTTATTCCGGATCGTCGAAAAATGATCATCCGGCGGCGCCACAATGATTTTGCTGCGCTTTACACGCGCATTTTTCGCGGCGTTATATGTTACTGGTCGATCCCTCAACTTTTCACCTCAGCCATTTGAGTTCGAATAATTAATCTGTGGAATCTTAGATGTTTGAATCTTAGAATGTAACACCAATGCCACGTTTGCATCAATTAGATGAGATTTCTTTCAATTGTTCGTTTTTATTAATCATTTCTTTTAATCAAATATTACGAACGCGTTTACAAGAAAATTTATCAATACGCGAAAAACGCGAATGTTTTCATTAGCATTTAAATTGAGATTTGTATGTTTAATGATAAATATTTAAAGTAAGTATCGGAAATTTACTTTTGACTGAGAATTTTTTCCTGAAAAAATATTTTCGAGTTTTTTTTTTTTTTTTTTTTTTTTATAAAAATAAAAATAAAAAAAGATTTTTGCCTTTCATGTCATTCTCCTGAATTTCTTGATAACCTTGTACAAAATTTTCATTTAGAGTTAAAAGATTGAAGCATTTTTTACTTTTAGGATATTAAAGTTGAAAATTAACGCACTCCTGCGGTTAAGTTTTCATAAATAATCGTCAAGACAGATTCTCGATTGGCCAAAAAGTTTTTTGTTGAATAAAACGCATGATGTATATTGATTTGAGATTACACATACACATTGGGAGCACAAGCGATATTAAAAGATTGGATTTAGTACCACGAATAAAAACCAAAAAAAAACTTTCATTGCACAAATTATTCTTGACGCGACCGACATACATAAATACGTAGTAAACAACTCATCTTTTTAACTCTGTAGAATCCCAGTAAACCTGGCGAGAAAAAACTCACCCCTGCCATTTCCATTCCTTCCAAACTTTTGATCCGCTTCATTTATATTACTCTTTCGCTAACCTATTGTCTTTTAGGTGTTTTACTTGTACTCTTTTTGTCACTTTTTACTTTACAATTACTAGCATTTTAGAATTTCATTCCTCATCTTGTCACATCATGCCGTCCAAGACCTCAAAATACGTATATCACGGTCATAGCAAGATAATTTCGGGTGTTATAGCAGTTCTTGAAACAACTAACCAACCACTTTCCTTACAAGAGTTGGTTGATGAAATGACAAGACGTCAATTAGTAGTTTTTCAGTAAGTACCATTCCGAATTTCAGAATTAGTAATGCCATCATCTCGTACGCCTCCAAAAAGTTTTCCTAAAACTGTATTAAAATATTATTCTTTTATACATTTTAGTGGTGCCACTCCGCGTAATACTGTCAGTGGTGAAATTAGTAAACTTCTAAACGCAGTAGGTCCTAACAATGCCCCCATCCTAAAAGTTAACCAAGGCAAACTTACAAAGTTTTTTTTGCGACCGCGTCACCAACAGGATACGTTGTAAGTTTTTTTTTTTTCCTATAATTTATATTTAATGTCATTTAAATTTTGGGATCTTAAATTGATCTGATTTCTCGATTTTGTCTTAATTGATACAGAAAACAGGTGTCACATGGTAAAATTCAAAAAAGACATTCATCTCGCACTACTCGTAATAACCATCATTCGCAGACTACCATCATCTCGTCAGAAAAGCAGAATCAAAATGAACGCGTGACTGATCAGAAAAAACGACGCCAAATGGATGATCTAAAGTACGTTTATGAATAGATCAATTCACTTGCTTATCATTTAACTTATACTAATCTTAAATCTATTATAATTCTAGGGCTGCATATTTACTTTCTTGTCTTTCTGCACATTCGTTTTGGTTAAATTTTAAAAATGAACCAGAGAAAGATTTTAAATATTTTCTGGAAGCTCATGTCGGGGAAACTTCTTTGATTTCTAGCGTCATCAATGAAAACGATGGTGATCTTAATAATAACTCAATGAAAATGGAATCATGTATGACAGAATATTGATAGATAATAATGAATTTTCTCTTAATTTTACTAATCTTTTTTTCTTTTTCCTCCTATTCACTCTATTCACTTAATACTCTGAGCATGATATCAACCATCATAAAAAAAAAAAGAAACAATCAAAAAATAAATTTAGATTTAATATTAGACTCATTACTTCTTATCATAATCTTTATTTTAATTGTAGATATTATCCATCATCTTTAAAAAAAAATTTTCAACTTTAACCTTTAATATGATGATCACTTAGACGAAAAAAAAAACTATTAATTTTCAATGAAATGTGGTTTTAAATCACTTTTGTAAATTTCTTTGTGATTTTAAGTTTATTAGAATTAGTCTTTATATATATATATATATTTTTAATTAATTATTTTATTTCATTCTAATAATTTCATTTGTAATTTTCCCTTCTATTTTTTCTCCCCCTTTTTTTTCAAATAGAAAATAGAAACATTAGAAATTCAGACATTTGAATTAATCATCCAAAATTGGAAAACTATCAATGCAGATCAAATTAAATATTGTTTTCTAGAATACTAAAATATTATATATAACATCACATGTTAAATACTTTGTGAATGCGTGAATTTTGGAAATCTAAATTGCCGATGATTTACATGCAAATTGTTTAGTTTTGAATTTGTTCAAGTCCTTTGCTTTCATCAATATTCGATACCAAACCTATAGTAGTAGTATTGAAATTGTTCGAAAGAACCGTTGTACCAGTACTATTCATGCTGTGATTATAACTTTCATTGACGACAGAACTTTCTTCGCCTGATGATGTATCATGTGAGTTTTTTGCTCCATTTGATTCAATAATTTGTTCAACTGCTGCATCAATTTCCATTGTACTATCCTTATTAGGGATCGCTTCATTATTGCTCCCTGGATCAATTATCGGAGACATACTACGATCTTCTCGAACAATTAATATTTCTGATGCTTGCATTTCTTCTGCTATTATCTTTTTTAATTGTTGTTGCTGTTGATATAGTTGAAATGTGGGAGGTTTTGGCGCTATAGGAATCGGTGTAATACTTGATTTATTAGTTGACAATAATTGTGGCAATTTCGGAGAATTTAATTGAAGTTGTCGCACATGAGGTTGTAATGAAGAATGTTGCGTTTGAGGACGTGACGAGGATTGAACTTGTACTTGGGAAGCTCTTTGAGATTGTATCTGCACTTTTGGCAATTGTGGAGCTAACATTTGTATCTGTGGTTTTTGCGTCTCAATTAAAGGTCTCGTTGAGATATGAGTAAATGTTCCATTATTATCATTTTGTTTTTCATTATCATTACGACGAATCAATTTTAATTGTTCCATAACTGATCGCGTCAGTGAAGATTGTCCACGGCCTCTTCCCTTAGGTTTAATTGGACGTGGTGTACGTGAACCCTTGGAACCAAAAAGATTCGTTGGTGTGAAACCGGACGGACTTCGCTTCGCATCAACCAATAGACTAGCCGATATTGTTGGCGCGGCTGAAAATGTAGGCGTAACGGTTGAGACAGAAGTATTATTTCCAGGCGTCTGTACAACACTTGTGATAATCTCGTTATTACTGTTGCGCCTCACAGTTGTCACAGGAGGTGGAGGTGGAAACTAGTGAATTAACAATTATGCCAAAAAACTCATGGGTCGGTTTTATTAAGGTTATCAAACAAATTTATTTTATTTTCCGAGTAATTCTTACCTGGCGATTAGGTTGATTAAAATGAATAGCTGACCAAGGAGGGTAATCTCGTTCAAGTTGCATTATTTTGTTCTCTAACACTTTTAATCGTTCATAAACACTGAATGGAATGGATGTAACTGATCATTGAACGAAATTAAATGAGAATAATAATTTGAATCAACTTATCCATGTAATGCAAATAATGAAAAAATATAATAAATGATCACCTATTTCTATATTTAAATGTTTTTCGATATTTTGTAATCTATCCTCAATACCTCTAGGTAAATCAGCTAACGATTTTTTATCAAGATCGCTTCGATTATGATTGGCTGAAGTAAATGTCGAGCGAGCTAAGGGACCATCTTCATTGTTCACTACATCAAGTTTCATTTGAATATTTCGATTGATTTCGGCAGCGTCCGATCGAGCACATGATTGTTTATCTAGATTTGATCAATATATTTATATATAACAAATCTTATGAAATGAAACTATATGTTAAATTAGAATATATGGTAGATTGTTACCGTTTGGATCTAAAGGGTTATCCGATTTTTTCAAAAACTCGGCCCGATTACTATCATTGATTTCGGACTTTTTTAATTGTATAAAGTTATCAATTCGTTGCTCGAGCTATAAATGTAACACCATACATCCATATTAGAATCAATATATATATTTTAATTACAATTTCAGACTTGTATTATTACATCTACCTCGGAATTCGTTGTTCTAATTTGAACTTCTTGAGAACTCATTAACAATTGAACTTTTTTTGACGGGTTACCTTCACCTAAAATAAATCAAACTCGAAATATAAATTATTCCCGAATATTTATTAATAAATCAAAAGATTTTCCTTATGACAAACCATTTTCCTGTTCCATTTTTCTCTTAGAAGACTGAACATCAAATCTCGTTTTCAGTGTCTTTGAAAAGATATAATTGTTAAAATCTTTTTAATTTGAAATCATTCAAAGAACAATATAATAAAATAATAGATCAATAAACGAGATTAAAGACAATTCACTGTTAATTCTTTCAATAAACAATCGATATGTTTAGGAATTTGTTTTTCATGGTTAGTCGATAAGACAATTAGTTCCATTAGTAAAGCTTTATTAGTTTCAACCATTCCAATCTATTAAATTAGATAAGAATAAATTATATTGTTTAATCGATTATCATAATAATGTAGAATTAATAAAAATATACCTTTGTAAAAAATTCGGAAAAAAGTTCATGCCATTCTTGTACACTTTGAATTTCTTCTTGTTGTTCTTGTTTGGGAGGTTCTATTATTTGAGGTATTTGCTCAGGTATTGAAGTGGCTTCAACTGTAACAAATGTCTTCTCAGTCTTTTCGCTAATTTCTTCATCCATTATTCAAAAGAAACTTTTTTCGTTAATTTTTTTAGATCTCGGTGCAATATCACAATCCGGAATCAAACCTGATTCGAAGTCACGTCCCACGTGATATAAATTGAATTGCCTTTGATAAATTGATCGCAGATCAAAGTGGAACAGGGCTACTTGTTTTTATTAGAATTGACCATCACATGATCATCACCTGATTCAAAACAGATAAATGCTGAGTTGATCTGTTCCATTTTTAAATTTAACCAATTATGTCAATTAAACATGATGCAGATTATACTTTATTCTTATTAATAATGGAAGAGATAGATGATTCATTTAAAAATGAACTAAACCTAAACAAACTAGATGATGATAATTATGAACTAATAAAAATAGTTTTTTTTGCTTTGTCTTCTAGTCATTATCTTATTTCTCAAACACATAATGTTGTTAAATCTAAACATTGGTAATATAAAATATTACCTCTATATGATGATATACAAAGGCATAAAATCATATAAAATTTTGTGTATTAAATGATCATTATCTATATAATGTCATTTGCTATGATTGACATGCGACATATCCAGTGACTGATAGCATAGCAAGTATAGTGAAATGAAACAACATATATAAAATGAAATATTTTTTGTATAATACTAAAAAAAGCTAAAAAAACTAAAAAAAGACTAAAAGGGTTAAAAAAGGTTAATTAAGAAATAAATAATAAACTAAGCAAAAAATAAGCAAAATTTAAAGAACGAAATTACAAATTTAGCAAAATTTGATAAAAATTTAGTAAGAAAGATAGCACTGCAAATATTCAATCTTTTTTTCTCTAAATAATAATATATGAATTTTATTACTTTATCGTAACCATCACATTTTTGATAAATCACATAGTATTTCTAAATTTATGAAATAAATACAATGAGACCTCTCTAAATACATCTTCTATAAATGTATACTCTCTTTATATTGTCACTGAAAATAATCATCTCTTATTACTTCACATAATTTGTTTAAGTTCCTTTGGATAAGTAACTTCCTTATCGTCAGACTTTACAATCTTAGGGAATCTCACGTCTTATAGGTATTCAGAATGCTTTGAAATTACTTCATTTAGTTTATGAACTTAAGGGTTTAGAGACTTGGAAATTTAGAGAATTTATTTATTCTAAGTGACGAACTCAATCACAAGTTAGTGTAGTGATTCATGATCAAATCCTAAATGATGGACATGTAGAAGGGAAAAGTAATTATTTTTCAAAGTTGATTCCTTTATTTATTACTAGAACTTGTAATAAAACTAAAACTCGCAAATGAGTTAATTTACAATATAAGCAAAAAGCTATTCTATTTATACAAAATTAATTTGCTACGACTAACTAATTGCTACGCTATAAACTAACTAGATTTGTAACTACAAGTATTAATATAATAATGATAATAATTATAAGAAGAATAATAATTATAAAGATAATAATAAGTATAATA